GGTTGCACCCAACAGAGTGTCCCCTCACGGGGGCTTACCCTGGTTTCCCCCGTTACCAGCTCTTCTCCCTCATCTTGGCCAGCATTGCATGTTCTGGCTGGCAGTCTCTCTCCCGCAGAGACCTTGCTCTGCACCTGATACATCAAAAGGCTTCCTTGGAAATGGCAGGGATCGCCCTGGGGAACCCAGGCGCATGCAGAGCATCTCTGTCCATGCTGAGCCGCACAGGCCTAGCCTAACTCCCAGGACTCTGTGCAGAGGCTGACAAGGTCTCCTCAGAAACAGCCACTGAACTAGGAACCACAACAGGCCTGCATATTTCCTGCTGCTTTCGGGGGGGGGGGGGGTGGAGTTCCAGAGACAACATGTCCAGGGGCCGGTTTCCTGGGCACGAGAAAACACGGTGGGGGCATGGGGTGCTTCTTTACTTGGGAATAAGGAAATGGGGCCCACGGCAGCGTGTCCACGCTCTGGAACCTGCTCCCCAGGATATGCTAGATTGCAACAACCGGCATTCTGAACTTGGTGCTTTGCTCATGAAGTTTCTGCGTTTGGCACATTGAAAAGTCAAGCTTTTTTCAGACAACGATTACGCATTGGCCAAGTTTGATTTTAAATGTTTTTAAAGCTAGTGCAACTGTATGAGTAAACCCGCTTATGCCCAGTAGATGTTATGTTCCCAAAGTAACAAAGTGACTTTAAATCTGTGAAAGGGGCTTTTAAAAATCACCCCTCCCAAAGGTTTTCCCTATATGCCTTCAAAGTTTCCAGAGATTTTAACTCTCTAAATGGAGGTGAGCAGTAAGGAGTCTTGCAAAGCTGGGGCTCTGGCTCACAGGGCCAGACAATGAAAATGACAAAGCACAAATTTGATTACGCAGGTGTTCTCCTGCCCTGTCTCCTAAGGATGCCTCTATTTGTAAAAGGGGAGAGGAAGGCTTTTGCTTTTAGAGAAACACTTCAGGCAAAAGATTTGCAGGGTCAGGAGCAGGAGGTAAAGCAGACGTGTCCCCAAAGCCACTGAATCAGTGAAAATCAGCTGCAAGAGAGATTGCACCTTTATTTCAGCAGGTGCCCCCTGGGCAGCAAGGTGGTGGGGCAGAGGGCCCCCCAGAGATTCCAAGGCCTGTCGGGCTTCTGAGGTGCCCTCAGCTAACTCCCACCTCTCTGCTTTCTCCATGCCTTCTTTCCCCGAGCTCTAAAATGCCCTGTTTTCTCCCCTTCACGCCCATAATGCCTTCTCTCTTTAGCCACGGGGAGGGCACCCACCACTGGCCAGGAGGCACGGTGGCATCTCTTGACCTCCAGTTCCAGCACCAGTAACGTTAGTCCTTGGATCGTGCGGCTCAGCATGGACAGGGGCTTTGGGGTCCGTGTGGGCGCAGCTGGCTCCCTTCCCATGTCATGGGACGCATCCCTGGCAGTGTGCTGGGAGTGGTGAACGTGGGTGGTGGGGCATCTGCGCACCAGCCCTGCTTGTGAGGTTTCCACAGTGTGAAGAGAAGCCTGGATCAGGGAGGCCTTTGTCTACAACCTTGTTACCCTAAAAAATTAAGATCCAGACTGTCCCCGTGGTTAATTACACATTTGCAGTTGGGCAGCCTGAGAGTTTAAAAATGTGCATTGCATTCCTTGGGTGTGTGCATTGAGGGGGTTGTAGCTAAATCTCTCATATGGGGATTGTTTAAGGCATTTCTTGCCTTTTGGCTCGGAGGAAAATCCTACTTCGGAAGCTGGTATTTGCAAAGATAACAAGTTACCCGCTCCACCTTGGCACAAATGGAGGGGTTTCCTACCAATACAAATACCAGGTTTCAGGACTGAGGCAACCAAGGAAAGGGTAAAATTCTTTCTCCAGGCCTGCTTCAATCCAATTTTCTCTCTCCCCTCCCCGCCATAATGCTATTTGCATTTTTTATAAACCCTGGCCTTTGCATCCAAGGATGCCCTAAGAAGGAAGGGGCATTCGCTTGTCCATTCCAGAGTGTGCTTTTATTCATGCCTTCACAAGGCACCAGTTGCCTGTAAAAGCTGTTTATTTGGAAAGGGCAGGTGCTTAGTGTGAAAATGTATATTTTCCTGGAAGTTCAAGTGCATGTGCCTGGCTTTTATTTTAAGTTCTCCCCTGAATCAAAGTTAACAGTTATCCTGTGTCATGTGTTTGTTTCTTATTTTGTCCCTGCTTTCTCTCAATGGAGCATTACAAATGAAGGATGAAATGCATCTCAAAGGTAAAGAAAAGGTCGGTTATGTACATGTGAATATGGAGTACTTTTCTCCTCATTCTCTCCGCTCACTCCTGAGAATTGTCACCAGCAAGGGTAGATTTATAGTCCAGCTGAATGCAGACGTAATGAAGAGAGAGGCTCTAATTTTTACTTTCTCCCAGTGAAAGGCAGAAGAGTCCTTGGAGGGCGTTTGGCCCAGCCCCCTGCCCCACGCAGGATCTGTGGTGCCAGATGCAGGGAGCAGATGGCTCCCAGGCTCTGCTCGAATCCCTCCAGCGAAGGAGAGCCCACCACCTCCCAAAGCCGTCTGCGTCAATGTCAAAAGCTCCTGCTGTCAGGAAGTTTCTCCTAAGGGTTTAGCCGAAGTCTGCTTTCCGGCATCTGCTCCGCCCACTGATTCTGGTTCTGCCCTCTGGAGCAGCATGCTCTGTATTTTGTGTGACCAGCTCTACTCGCATTGGAACAGAGTCGTTGCACCTCCCTTTGGTTTTCTCCTCCAGTCATTCGCCTAGCTATCCATTGGGCGCGCGTGTCAAGTCACCTTTGCTGAGCTGCAAAGACGCAGGCCTGCGGCTGAATGGGTGACCACATGGGGAAGGAGACCGGGGTGTTGGACTCATTGGCCCTGTGGGCCCCTTCCGACTCTATTTCTGCTCTGTTCTATTCATCCCTCACAGGACTCGGTTGCTCAACCCCTCACCAGCCTGGTAACCTTCCTTGAGCTTCAGCTTGCTGATGTCCTCTTTAAAATCTGATTCTCAGTCCTCAACACAGGACTCCAGTCCAGGGGAAAATGGAGTGAAAAGATTATTTCCTGTGATACGGGTGCTCTGTGTTGTTAATGCAACCAAAATTGCATTAGTCTTTTTAGCAGCTGTGTCACTCTCAGCTAACATTGAGCTTGCACAGAACTAAAAGGCATAGATTTGCCACACAATGCCTTTCTATCCTACATGTGTGCCTTGGATAAATTTTGTACTTAAATGCAGGACGTAACATTGTTCAGGGATGAACACGTTGGCGCTGCTGGCATGTCACTGGGGCAACATTTCTATGGGTAGAAACAACCCAGAATTTCTGAGAGAGCTGGCTGCAGTTAGAGAGAGATGCTACTTCCTGCCGCACCCTTGTGCATTTCTTCTGTTCTAATGCTGACTCTAGATAAACAGGTGTTGCTGGCTTTTGAAATAAGAAAGCCTGTAAAACCTGTTTGCTGGAGGTAAAGGAGGGAGATGTGTGGGAGCACTCCTGGTAGTGATGACTTCTGTTTTCAGTTCTCCGGAAAATAAGTTAGAGCCTTCCTCCAAAGACTCCGTTTTCTGCTAATTCATTCATAGGTTCACACATAGAACTGCAGGGAAATTCTTCTGCCTGTTTGGGCACTTTCCCCCACCTGCTGTAGTTCGGGCATCACTATATTTTCTCTCCTGGAGTCAACTGGAGACTTGCTTTTTGTTTTTTTCTTTGATCACACTCCCAGATCTATTCAGCAGGTTTCAAAAGGAGATGGGTAAGACATCTTGTAAAATGTGAGTTTTAACAAACACCTATCACAGTGAATTGCGGCATGAATTCCCATCAAGTCAGTGAGCGGAAGGTGAGCCTTTTCTTCTCCCAAAGCTGTGTGTGTGGCCTCTGAGTGACAGCAGAACTGATTAAGTAAAGCAGCCCGAGCTTGCTAGAGTCAAAGGCCCTTGGGAGATTGCTGAGGACGATGCCGTGAGGACCAGAAATGGCTCCCGACACGGTGATGTATCTTGGGTGTGTGTCTTGTCCAAGAGCCACATGGTGGCCAGAGGTGCCACAGGCTATTGGGTGGAGAACATTTATTACCATGGCATGTGCAAGGCCCACGGCCGAGAGAGTTTCTCCATTATGCAAAAGTTTAAATCTCTAGTCCTTTCTCTCCCATCGGTGGAGAAAGTTGTGAGTGTTGCCAACTCCTTACGAAATAAGAACTGAACTGAAATTCTCACCCACCGGCACCTGCCAGGAACACGGCAGTTCCTGGCACAGAGAAAACCATATCGGGCTGCCTGCTGATTCGCTATTAAAGAAGAAAAGCCGGACAGAAAACGAGGGTTAATGGCAACCAAATTTAGCCCCACAGGTTTGATTGACTGAGCACACAGGGACTCAAACCTAGACCTTGGAAAGCCAAGTGGCTGCCTTTTTCTTTCTCCCCCACACATTTTTTTAAATCTCATATTCCTTTCTGTCCCATTCATGAAGAGGTTTGCAAAGTTTGGGAAGTTCTTACTGAAAGTCTCGCTCATGCACAGTCTGGCTTGATCCCTTCAGCTCAAGGACAGCGGGATGGGAAGAACTGATTTCTGCCGGCACCAGGGAGCTGCTACCAAGCAGGACTAGTAGCGGTCTTTGAGCTCATGTGGTGTACTGGTTGGAGGGGAGGACTGGGGAGGTCCACTCAGCTATGGAATTCACTGGGCAAATGCAGTGAAATCACCAGTCACTAATTCTCTATCCCATAAGGCGGTTGTGAAGATAAAGTGATGATGATGATGCCTCTTGGAAGAAAAGTGGAATGGTAACAGAATAAATATTGCACTAGGTACTGCAGGGTTGTGCCTAAAAGCCTAGCCATGTTTGCAATCCCAGTAAAGGCTGCGTTCCTGATCGTACTGGAAGCTTGGGTATTGCGGGGAGCAATTCTCAGCCATCTTTGGGGGTGACTGTACAAGCCTGCATATTGCAAGAGACTTGGTGAGCTGGCCTGTGGGTTTATGTGGTTGTTGTTGTGTTTTGGCTTAGATGATCATTGAAGCCCTTGAAGAAGAAAAGCAGTTCCTCACGACCTCGATCGCAGGGTACCTGAAGGACTACTATGAACTGTTGCAGGTGAAAGCCGGTCTCAGTCTTGAAATTGAAACCTACAGGTGAGAGGCACAAATGGTGCAGGTGGTACCCTTATGAAGGACTTGAAGTTATTCCCTTTTGTGTTTTTAAAATTTAGAATGATTTTTAGGAAGCCTACCTGAGAAACAGCAAGATCCAATTGTCAATTTGATAGCTGAAATAATGTTGACGGCACAGGCTGTGTTCCGAGTTACACACAAGAGGAGTCTCCCAGCTAAACTTACATTTGTGCAAGCAGTTGCGCATTACAATTGTGTGAGCAATTGTGCATTTCATGTGTGCAACTTCTTCCACAATAGGTTGCACAAGCAGTTGTGCAAGTATAACATTCAACTACTTAAGCAACTGGGAAAATTTGGCGGGGCTCCACTCGGGCTATCTGAGCCCATGGAATGACACTGTTGGATACTGCCCAATGAGGCCAAAAGAGACAAATGCAGATGGAAGAGCAATGTGCGTGTAATTCCATGAAATGCTGTAAAGACAGGTATGACCATGAAAAACTGTAGCCCACAGAAGTGAAAAGAAGTGGGTCTTCAGAGCTTTCCTTACGCCCTGCAAGAAAGGGGCTTGGCCAAACCCTGGTGGGGCCAAGGGACTCCTGCCTTTGGACTCGTTCAGTGGCAGGCAGGCGGGTGAGAAGACCGCTGTCCTTGACCTCAGAGGGAGGGCAGGCCGGCACAGGGCAAGGTGGTTCTTCAGGTAACTCGGTCCCAAACCATTTGGGTTGAACCTGCCATGTTAAATTAGACTTGCAAATGCACTGACAACAAAAGCAGTTCTAATGCTGCAAGGGAAGGGTGCAGGGAGAATTTCAGCCTAATCTCGAACAAAGTGAAAGTTCAGGGCACGTCTGGAGGTGCCTACTTGGGTGCAGCAGCCGAGACAGTGAGAAGAAAGCGAATGTAAAAATTGTCGGTATGCAGCAAGGCGGCTTGCTCTGTGCTTGTGCGTATGGCCACCGTTTCTTAAATTGGAGGAGGCAACCTGATATGCATAATCTGGTTAGGAACAGTGTCTCTCTGTGTGTTTGTACAATGTGAAATGTAATTCTCATAAGATGGAGTCAGAGACTCCAGGAACTCGGTGAGGATATCTGATCTGTTTTGGTCATCGTTTCAGTTGCACTGAAACAGCAGGTGTGCAGGTGGGAGGTGTCCTTGGACTGGCCGCTTCTCCTGGCTGCAGAAGCAACAGCGCAGACACCTGGGCCAGTTTCAGCCCCTTCCCAGACAAGAGGAGCCTGGTGCCGGGTTAACCTACACCCTGAGGGGCTGCTTCCAGAGGGGATTTCTCCCCTGCTCTCCATGCCTCTGGAAACCATCTGGGGGCTTGACTGCTGCTGGCTAATTTGGTGTTCGGAGACTGGAGTTATGCCTTCTCACAAGGTGTCCAAAGTATACATTGTCATTTTAGCTTCCAGGGAAAGCTCTGACTTGATTTGATCTAGGACCCCTTGCTCCAGGGTACTTGCAAAGCTCTCTCCAGCACCATGTTTTGAATGCATCCATTTTCTTCCTGTCTTTTGATGTTTAACTGCAGCTTCAATGTTTGAATGACTGTATTCTTCTTTATTTGTGTCCTAGTTTGCATTTTTCCACTTCATTGTCTGAAGCTTTGAGTATTATTTTTAATCCGAGAGTAGGGGGTAGTGTAAATAATGCTAAACTTAGCACACTACACTTAAGCTGCTGTCACATTTTGCCCAAGTTAAAAGTATCAAGCACAGAGGTCCTGCTTGCGGGAACTGAAATTTCAGTGAAATTTCTTGGACAGGTTCTGTATGCTCTAGTTAGAAGCAACTTGCACTGTCCACCCTCCAGTGCAACAGTGTAAAAGAAAGAATTTCCCTGATGTTATGTATGATGAAGTATAAAATTAGTTAATTAAGCACTTTTGATCCTGACCTACTGATGTCTGGCTGAATGGAATATTTGCAATTAAATGCATAGCAGAGTTGCAAGGTGACAAAGTTTCTTTTAGGAAGAATGCTTGAAGCAAGCTGTGGATTTGCTGGTTTGCAACAAAATCATCTCTTTGACTAGGATTACACTGCTTTTGGGTTGTGGGTTGTATGTCAAGCCGGCATGGATTTAGTCTACTCAACAAGGTGCTGCACTCAAGACTGAAACTCATCTGCAAGGTAGATTGCGGGGCCCTCTTCCTGGTCAGGCTGGCTTAAGGGGCCACCCACATGTCTACCTGCTTTATGCAGGCGGATAATGCATCAAGGGGATCTGATGTAACTTGATGTTTTATGGCTGCCACAAGAATGTTACATAATAAGAGTTCCATCCAGGGCTGGAGTGGCTGATTGTATGCAAAGTTTTTCTGCTTTCCTGAATGAGAGAGAGGCAGAGAGAAGCTTCCAAAGCTTCATTTAACATCTAGCTGGGATGCCAACCCTGCTCATAAATTTTCACAGTGGCAATTGACTGACTGCAATTTCCCCCTTTGGCTGCCTCTCTCTGCTGGCATCCATCACCCTCTCTGTGAACACAGATGAAAATAAACATTTCTAGTGAACATGCCTCTACTCCCTTTGAAGAAGCAAGCGCTTCCGTGATTTTCTCGGGGATGAAAACATCAGTCCAGATCTGTTCCAGTTTGGCTCTGACAGCCTCAAGGGTGTTTGCTCCATTTGGCCTCTTAATTTTTGCTTCTGGCTGCATCCACTTTTGCATTTGGCACCATCTGCCCCTGGGGCATGGTTCGTGAAGACTTCTCAGAAATTCAGCTTGGCCCTTGGGCAGAAGGAGCCATCCTCCACTTCTGTTTTAGCAAAGAAAACATCCTAAGCAGCAGTCATAAACACCTCCCCTCCATAAAATCCCGAAGTGAGAATGTGCAGCATTGACTTCATTCTTCTCTTTTCTTGAAACTGAGTGCAGTTTCCCAGTAAAGCTTGAGAAGGGACCGGAAGCTCTACCTTCAGATCACTGAAAACGGGACCAGGCTCTTCAGCTGAGTGTTCTGTTTTGTTTTTAGCAGTCTTGAGGATTGGGGACTTGTTAATTTTAGTGTGCAGTATGTTGCAACACTGAAACAACTTTGTGTGGCTGTCTGTTTCATCAGAGGGCCTGTTCACACAGTGTTAGTTTTTTCTCCACATGGGGTTGCAGTTGTGGGCAGAAATGTTTGTTTGAATTAGGAATATGCAGGCATACATTGCAGCAATTTAAGGCAATTCTGAAGAGTTCCACTGCCATTTCAAAAATTGCTTCATGTCCTTGGCTCTGGATTGAGGAAAACCTTGTAAGCAATGAAGACTCCAGGGAATAAAAAGGGAGACAAAAAGATGCTGTGAACCAGTCCAACCATCAACTAGAGCTCCTGTCCTGTTCTTTTTCTGCCCTTTAACACTCCCGCCAAACTTTAAGTGGGTTTTGCCTTTCTTTTAATTCGAAGCCTGTTTTCAGCGGCCATGGTCAGGGACTCAGCTTGACGCTGAGCTTCTGCCCTTTGCCATATACAGAGCGTTGCCTGGAACTTATTTTTAGTGACTCCATGTGTTGCTCCAGCAACCACGCAAACTGTTGCTTTGTCTGCGGCCAGAAATCCTTAGTCAAACTTCCCGCATCCCTGTTTTCCATCTTCACGGTTAACACTTTCGGGGGTTTCGTCTGCAGAGAATATAAAAGAATGTAATCTTTTCTGGAGCACTGCGTGTGTAGCTTGTGGGAGTGGTGGTGGGGATTTTGCCTTGGAGTTGCAGAATCCCAAGAGGGCAGGATGTGTGAAACTTTAAGAAAGGGAAGAGAAATCAAAGCATGTAAGGGAAATCCGCAGTGTGGATCTGTGAAATATGCTTTGCCCCAAAGCTTGCAGAGGACTCGGGACTGTTGTGGGGTGTCATTTGTGCTTTTGTGGCTTGGTGGCCTGGACAGTGGTGAGAGGGTTCGGCTGGGACTTGGGAGGTCCGGGTTCTCATCCCCACCTAACTATGAAGCGCACTGGGTGATTTTGGGCCAGTCAGTGGCTCTCAGCCTGACATAACTTACCTGATTATTGTATGGATAAAATGGAGAGTAGGAGGACCAGGTATGCCCTTTTGGGTTCCTTGCTGGAGTTAAAAATCTGAGATATAAATGCAATGTAGGAGTAGTAATCAAAATATCCACATGATAAATATTTTATTGAAAATGCCTCCTGGCATGCCATTTTCTTGGAAAGGTGGGGTGCAAATTGAATAAATAAACCAAAGTTCTAGCTTCAGAATAAACAGTGAAGATTGGTTTGGGTTTTCTGTTTGGGGAGCCCATTTAATGTTGCTGGAGGAGCGTATAGAAACAGACCGAGTCAGAAGGGGCCTCCCGGGCCATCTGGTCTGACCTCCGGCACCAGCATGTATGTTACAGAACAAGTGTTTGGCTGAGGAGCCACACGCATGCCCTGACCTGATCCCAGTTTTCAGTCTGGGTCACCTGTGATGGCTTCCCCTGAAGATGCCTGGAAGTCACAGCAAAGAGACGGTGCAGAGAAGTGCCTGTTTCCTCCCTCCCCCTTTCAGCATGGCTGTTCTCAGATTCCTCAGGGCAGCCTTCCCCAGTCTGGACCTTCCAGATATTTTCAACAGCAACTTCCAGAATTCTCAACCATTGGCTGTGTTGGCTGGGGCGGATGGGAACTGAAATCCAAAACACCAAGAGCACCAAGTTGGGGCACCAAGTTGGGGAGAACTTTTGTGAACTTCTGCTGTTGGGTGTAGGGATGCAATAAATAGGGAGTGGGCAAAAGTTTGAGCCACAGGCCACACCGCATGGTGCCCTAGGCTATGAGGAAGCGACACAGTGTGGGTCATGAGCACTCCATGAGGCACCAGGCAGGGGTCACTGTGAGAAGTGCTCCCTGCTCTCTGCTCGGTCATCCAGCATCCTTCACAAGACGAGAAAGCCCTCTCTGCTCCCATGGCGAGTCCCTTTTGTTCACTGCCCCACCCCGTGCCAAACCCCATAAACGTGCAGATGTGGCTCTATCTTTTCAGCTCCAGCAACCGGTAAAATTGGTTTCATAACCACAGCAGTAAATTCTCTGGAAAGGAGCAATGAAAAGCAGGGAATATCTACCTATTCTGGAATATTTGGAGACTCCGGGAAAAGTTGAAAAGGTGTAGGATGCTGAGGAATGTCAGGGCAACGCATAAAATCAAGAGGATTGTGCGGGCAAGAAGGAGATCCTGTCCACCCGTCTTTGGTGTGCCCACTTTTGCTGCTCCTTCCCTCCCTGTTGGTGCTTTTCAGCTAGCAACTCGGCAACTGGCTCTTAGCAACTGTGCACAAATGAACCTGCAAGCAGGTTCTTCCTGGCAGTTTCCTTGTCTGTCAGCATCTCCCTCTGAGAGCTGAAATACATAATGCAATTGACCAGACAGATGGAACAGCCACTGAACTGGGGAAAGCCTGACCAAAGGATGCTACCAGTGGCAGACAGAGGCAAGATCACAAAACTAGGAAAGCGTTTTGCTGCCCTCGCTGAGCGACTCCCTAGCCGATCCCAGCAATTTGTGACGAAATCGCCATCCTGGGTTTGAACGGCACAACGGCCCACAGTGGATGGAAGGACCCCTAGGGTGAGGCCTGGGTGTTCAGGGCGGCTTGCTGCCGGACTAAAATCCACGTGTGGATCGTGGCCTCCGTTCGGACAGAAGTGCAAGTTACCCACAATGGGTGGTTGTTTTGTGCAAACAGGTGGATGAAGAACCAGTGGCAACTAATTGGGAGGGAAAGAGGGATCCGACTTCCAGCAGTGAAACCTTCATTGCTTATTTGTCACCCTATTTTGGAAGCTTCTCCATCCACCTCCACTCTTCTGGCTGCTGTTGAGAAGAAACCTAACTGTAAAACAAGCCACGGGGAATTCAGTAACACACCCTTTCTCTTCATTCACAAGATGGTTCTTATTCGAACAAACCAGTCTATTTCTTAATCCTCATGCTTTTAAAGATCACTTTAAATAGATGGTGCATTGCACTTCCAGTAGGTTTGAATGTGTTGAATGAATTTCTTCTTTCTATCTCAATAAGTGGTTTCGTCTATAACCTCAATAGGATGGTTTAAAATGCCTTCACTGTTCACTAGTTCACAGTGCATGCTTTTAATAGCATTGTAAGAGTTGGAAAGAACCTCAGCCACCAGCCAGCCACACCCTCCGCTTAATGCAGGGCGCAAATGCTCTGGACTGAGGGCGTTTCTTTCTAGCTCCTCTGAACAACCTCCCGTGCTGGAGGGCTTACCAAATCCCAGTGCAGCCCGTTCCATTACTGACCAGCTCCTGCCTACCATTAGGACCCTGAGCAGAATGTTCACCTGAAATGAATTTCCCCTGTGATGGCCACCTTGCATCGTTTCGGCCACGCTCATCTGGAAGCGCTTCCTTTGTCAGTGCTCTCAGAATGTGGTACCCGGAATTGGACAATGGGATCTGAAAACCATGTTTCTCGTAATGCATCCAGGCATGGGATTATATTTACTTATTTATTTATCTCTCTGCTTCCTAGATGTAAAAAAAATCCTCAAGAAAACATTTTGGAAGAAGCATGCATTCCAAATGGATTCCACTATGAAAATGGGTTTTTCTTTCCTTCTTTCATCATAGACAGCTCTTTCCTCATTTCAGTTTCACCAAAGACAGAAATTTCCATTTGTTATTTACCTGGTCAGCTAAGTTTGATCTTTGCACTATTTCTAACCATGCGAGTTTTTGCAGCCAACTGCTATTACATTAATTACAAGTTCATAAAACTCTGTGATTATAATATCTCTGTGTGCACTGTAAAAAGAAGCCATTTTCATGGGATGGCAGTGAATGGGGATATTTCAGGGCATGTCTACTTGTTTTTCAAAGGGTAAAATGTCTGGGAATTTCTCGTAGCTTTCCAGGAACCAGGCAAGCTATCAGACGCTTTCATATGACCTGCTAATCGATCTGAAGTAGCTATCCTGTGTTATCTTTTCAAAACATTTGGCAGAGCGAAACTGAAAACAGCAGAGTAATAGAAGCAGGAGAGCTTTTAGTTGTCTTTCATGAGCTCTGCATCTCAAAGCAGGTGTTGTAGAGATTCATGTTGCTGCACCTTTTAGGGCCTGGCTGTGCGGTTGTGCCTGCAACATTGTGCAGGTAACAGACTGCAGTGGGTTGCCATGTTGACCAAAGACAACAATAAGCAGCCCAGGGTTGGCTCTGGGCAGATGGATTGCCCCTCACCCTCCTCAAACAGCCTTTTCAATTCACCATTAGGACAATTGAAAAGTGACAGAAGGACAGACTTTTTCCATTGCTCCAAGCCAAAGTCCGGTGTATGTTGACAAGTGAGTAAATGCCACCTGGAAAATAAGCGTAACATCCTGACTGGCAGCGGAGGAACAATGAAGACTTTAGGATGCATTCATTTTTTATTTTAAACAAGGGGAAATTCCTGTACCACCCACTTGTAAAGTTTCAAGGCCACTCCTAAAAAGGATGTATTAGAATCCCATACTTTTGTTCTTAAGAACAGTGTTTTTAAAACACAGAATGTGAAAGTTTGCAAATGCAGCATTCGGCTGAAATTCAAACATTAGAAAGGCAAGGCTTATCCTCGTAGGTGTTTTAAAACATTCCTGATTCCCTCACTGTGGTTAGCTTTAAATCAGTGTGTGAAGCCATGGTTAGAGAAGCCGGTTTGCCAACCCTGGTCAAATCTCACAAGATTTCTGGTAATGTGGTTCAGACAGGACACCTGGCTCCACAAGGGAAGACAGGTGGGAAAGCTGGTGGTGGAAAGGGAAGTGCATTTATGGCACTTTTCCAATCTCCTAATGTTGGTCGGAAGACCAGCTGCGTTATGCCAATACCGGGCCGTAGTTCCCATGAAATACCAAGTTTTTCTCTGTCTCTCTCTAATGAAATGCTGTGTTTATACCTTACAGAGCTTTGCTAGAAGGAGAAAGCAGTCAGTGGATTCTGATGTGGGATGAAGAGCATGGAAGGAAATTACCACAAGGTATGGGTACCACAAGCCCACATTTGTGCCGGGGGGAGTGGGGGATGTGGCTTGTCTGCATCTCTGTAACCTTGCCTTGGACCCTATTGTGTAGAAGTCTTACGGTGTAGAAAAGGTGGATAGAGAAACTTCCCTCTTTGAAAAAGACACTCACCTAGTCTTCCCTGACCCGGGACCCTCCTGGTGCGTTGAACCACAATTCCCAGAATCCCTGGGCCAACATATATTTGTGGTTTTGAAATATATGGCTGTGTTTTGGATCTTTGCACTGCAGCTAGGTTGTACTTTGGTTTTTATTGTTCACTGTGGTTTTTATACTGTCAACCATGGCTCCAGAATCTGTTTGCAATGGCCTTGCAAGTTCACACTGTCCACACTCATGAAAGCACCGAAATCTCCAGCAATAGTAAATACCGCATGAGGGTGTAACAGTTCAAGAGACTCCATATGATTCTCAAATTCTACCCCATTAGCAGTTCCCAGGGATGTTTTGGAACAGGGTGAGTATAGAGATACTGACCAGCATGAGATGAGATTTCAGGAAGGTAACATTAAACAGCAGTTGCAATGGAATTGCACCGACTCATTGCTGTTGTGGTTACCTCCGACTCTGATTGGAAACACAGCAAGCTGCTCTCCCGTCCATCCACCTCTTATCTAGTCTTCCTTTTCTTCTTCTGCTTTCAACTCTCCCTGCCATGAGCTTCTTCTCCAGAATTTCGCCTTCTTGTGATGCAGGCACATGGGCTTTAAAAGGAAATCAGACAAATTAATGGAGACTGACTCTCTCAGTGGCCATTGATCATATGTGCTGAATGGAACCCCTGTTCTCAGGAGCCACTGAAACTCCAGTTACTGGAAGTCCCAGCAGGAAGGAGCAGGTGGGGATTGTGGTGCATTGAGAGTAGGCATCCCCGGGGCCACCAACAAGATCCTCTTGCAGATGGTCCTTCTCTTGCCCACTGCAACCTGCTTTCCCCCTGCCTCTTGGTCTGGTCCGGAGAAAGGGGCTTGTGAGGAGGAGGAGGAGCTGCTTCTGTCCACCTGCCTGTTGGCTCTCTTGCCTGGCAAGCAAGCAAGCGAGCAGCAGCAAGGGTGGGGAGGAGGAGGGTGTGGTGCAGGAGACGTGGATGAGCATGGCGGCAAGAAGGGGGGGAGTGGGCCTGTTGAGGGTGTCTTGCCCAGGAGCTGCTACTGGCGCAGCTGGCTGATGCTTTCCAGCAGTAACTGGCTAGCCATTGTTAAAAACAGGATGTTGGACCACATCGCCCTTGATTCTGATCTATTTTTTATAATGCTGCCAACACAAAGTGGAAATTCTTGGGGCATTTCCTGTTTGCTTCTTAAATGGCTTAAGGCCACCTTCTTGAATTGTTGTCTGAATGAAGGCTTCCTAAATCACAAGGGGATACAAGCAATCCCTGCATGGCACAGTTTAGATGACCCGGAGGATGGCCAGGGCAAGGACCAATTCCATGATGGCCGGGGTCAGGCATGCGTGGTCCGCTCTTGTAGCTGCTGGGGCTGAGTTGCACTCAGAACATAAGTCCCTTCTCAGGCAGAGGAAGGACTGGTGTGGGGGTGCGGCGCGAGTGCTTGCAATTGGGTGGCAGCAGGGAGTCTCTGGATTGCCCTGTCCTGGAGTTCTGTGGTCGGCAGAGCAGTATCATCTGCCTGCTGCAGTTCAGCCTTCTGATTCCCCCAAGCTGCCAAGTCTAGAAACAGACTTTGGACATCTGGAATGGAGAAAACGGCTTCCAGTCCTGAAGCAGGGAACAATTTTTGGCCCAAAAGCCAGACTGTGTTTTGGAGATGGCTGCTCCCAGTGGTGACTGGGTCTAAAACCTTTAAGCCCTAAAATCCCTCTGTTGCCAGTTTTCAGTCTGAAACGTATCTGGTCAGAAGTAAGGATGAGCAGAACTTCTACTGACGAGTGAGTAATGCTCTTGCAAGAGAGGGCTCAAAGGGAAGCGGGAGTGGACCACTCCATAGCACCTTCACACAGCAATTCTAATCAGAAGTAAGAATGGCCATGGCTACTCAGAAGCAAAACAAAACAGGATCCAAAAGATGGAGAAACAAATCCAGCAGTCCTGCCCCTCTTCTCTGCCCCGCAGGGAAAAGCCCCTGTCTCCATTCTTAATGCATGGACGTTATCTCTGGAGCTGTCCTGAAGACCCAACTTTTCTATGAAGCCCTTGTGGATCACAGAAAGTGTGGCATCCACACAGCCCATCTTAGCCAATGGACTTCACAGCCTCAGCTGATTGCAAAAGGAATGGGAAATCTGTGTTTAGAATTAGCGCTTGATCACACATGTGCCAAGGCCTTCTTGCAAATTGCCAGTGATTATTATGAACTAGGTATTTGCAATGGAATTCTAATGCCCTTTATGCACAGAAATATTGTTTGCTTGCTGCTCTGCAGGTGCAAATCTCATTTCCTTTGGTGGTCAATGAATGAAGATCATCGTGACAGACTGCATAGAAACTGAACTGCCCAAGATTACACCATTGTTTGGTTTTATCATCTGTTCTGTGAAGACATGTAGGATTGAATGGATTTGGCCACAAAATAGCTTCCATTTTTCATGGATATGTTAATGCTAGGATTAGATTTAAGGCTATTGTGTGTTTCTGTGCTTGAATGTTACTTAAGTATATGATGTTATGAGCACTGATTTTCATTTGTTTTCTCTACTGGCAGGTGTCCGAAAGATGCTGCATGAGTATAGCAACCGGCACTCAGCTTATCAACAGGAGAAAGGAAAGAGAGCTTTTCCTGCAATCCAGAATGTTGACACAAGATATAAATTCCCAACCACAAAAATTAGCAGCTCTGCAGCTTATTCATCAAGGACAAAAACTGACGGAACACAGGCCCCTGCTCCTGGGAAAACAAGAAGGGACACCTTCAGGCCTTTATCAGCCATCAGAAGGGATGAGACTTATGGGAAAACTCAGATAGAACAGAAGGAGATCCGAACCTTTCCTCCCCGCCATGTTATTAGCCGAGAGAGTGAAGTTCTACACAGAACAATTCCTGAAAGAAAGAAGGCTGAAACGGGGAGTACACGGACTGTTTCAAAAGAATCAACAACTGTGCAGAAACACCTGGCAGGCCCAACTATTTCTGAAAATGTGAAAACAAAAGTGGGTATTTCTACATTTCCACCATACAGCCTAAGCTCCAGTGCTAAAGAAATTAAACATGAGAGTACCATAGGAGGGACTAAGAGCAGAGCAAATGAACAAGTTAAAGACGATAAGCCAAGACAAGAGGAAAAACGTGCTTTCCCAGAAGGAAGAGAGAAAAGAGAAATGCTGGCCAAGGAAAGGACAGCTTCTCCTATTGAGAAAATTGGTGAGAAATTGGCTGGAGGAGAAAGAAATGTTGACTTTCCAAGGAAGACTGAATTTAATCAAGGCTTGGATGAAAAAAAGCATATAGTGGAAGAATTTGCCATGAAGGATAACAAAAAAGAGGACAGGTTAATAGATGATAAAACATCAAAGGAAAGAAGTTATATAAGATGGGAAGAGCGGATTAGAATAGATACATCAGGAAAAAATCTTCCAGGAGATAGAAAGATGGAAGAAAGTCATTCTTCTGAAAAGGAGAAAAATGTGAGCATGACAAGACAAAGCAAAGCGACTTCTGAGATGCCCATTCAGTCAGAGGTAAATAGTCATGGTCAAATATTGAGGAATAATAATGTGGAAGTAACATTACAAGATGCAAACCCTTCTGTCGAAAAGCAGCAGAATGAAGACACATCTAAACTTTCCAGAGAATTTAATCAAGATGAATTAAGAGATGAAAGCTCTAAAGTTGATAGCTTACTTAGAGAAAGTATAGCGGAAAACATAGTTTCTGACATTCTTAAAGGTTTTGTGCAGAAATCTGCTGAGATAGAAGCTCCCCTGGACACCAAAGCCACTTCCTTTGAAAAGGAAAAAGTTTCTGAGGATGGAAAAGTGAAAACTAAGATCACTATACAGTCTACCGTTCAAGATGACTTGAATGTTTCTGATGGGTTTGATCTAGGGGATGTTAAAAAAGTGCTGGAAGAAAGTAAAGAAACTATAGCTCAAGATGTAATAGAAGATATCAATGCTGGGGCAAAGGGAATGGAAGGAAAAGGGAAAAGGACAGTACAAGTTGAGATAGTTGAGGAGCCACTAGGATTCACAGTGGATGAAAGACTGGACTTTTCAACACCATTTGAAGTGGAGGAAGCAGAAGATACGTTTCCTGATGTGACAGGACATCAGTACTATGGTGGTGAAGAGAAAGCTCCCACAGGTGCTGCCAAGGACCTTCAACAACCACAGCCCAGTGTAGTTGTGTCTCATGTGGAAGAAGTCGCGGAGGGAGACGATGATGTTGATGAAGACAAGTACTTTGTGTCTACTCCAGAGGAATACCCCTTGGGTCCTGAGCAAGATGAGGGCTCCATCTATGGCCAAATCCATATTGAAGAAGAATCTACAGTAAAGTATTCCTGGCAGGATGAATTTCTGCAGGGCTCTCAGACTAGGATAAATGAGGGCCTGGGATCACCAGAGGCAATATACGAAGTAAAGGAGGGAGGGGCAAGTGCCTTTATTTCAAAGGATCACACTCCCCAAGAACAGGTTGCTCATTCTGAGTCCACTGTAATTGAGAAGGAGATAACAATCCCACCCGAATTTCATGAGTCAATAAAGGGTCTCTTTTCTCAGGAGTCCAAGGACCCTAAGCATCAGCTGAAGGAGGCTCTAGAAAAGCTGGAAGGCACCCTTCCAGAAAGTGTGAAGCAGGAACTATCTGCATTGACAAAAGAAAGCCAGGCTGATTCAAGCAGCTTGGAGGTGGGTATTAAAAAGATGGAGCACATGAAAAAGGGCGGACTGGTTACGATAGTTGCAGAAGTCAATTTGTCTCAGACGCTTGATTCTGACCAGTTTGACATGGAATTTCTTGGCAAGGATGTGGCTGATAAGATAAAGCTGCCCACACCCGCACAAAGTGAAGGTGGCTTTGATGAATATGGGAAGCAAGAGGCAGAAATCTGTGGTGATGGCAGGAATAAGCCTGGAGCAGATGTTTCTTCCACACCTTGGACTATAGAAGAAGTTTCTAGCACAGCCAAGCTAGTTGGTCCAACAGAAATTCGTAGGACTGAGCATGTCCTGTATGAAGGTCCTGCCTCAGAAAGTCTGGAATTTGGGACAGCAGATGCAAGTCAGTCCATAAAGGAATTCAGATTTAGCCCTGAAGGAATTCAGACCACAGAAAAAATAATTTACAGAGGTCCTGTTCATACAACTGAGGAGCTGAGTGGTTCTGAACGTCTTGGTCAGGCACAATTTTCAGCAGATATTCGGACCTCTAAACACACGACATTGGGTTCAAGCCAAGTTGTTGAGGAAATTGTTTTTGAGGGGCCAGCTTTGGATTCATCTTCAACTGACAGCCACGAGCCTTCTTTGCAGAGGAAAGGACCAGTAGAAACCAGCAGGGCCATAAGGCACCTGCGGATAGATCCTGGAGAAGTACATACCGAACAAGTTGTATACGAAGGGCCCCTGGCTGGATTTATGGAGTTCAGCAGCGCTGGAGACACCATTCAGACCGAAGAATCTTTAAGACAAATTAGGCTAGGACAAAAAGGCACCCAAATATCTGACCAAGTTGTATATGAAGAATCTTCCCATGAGATACTGAAACCGGGTCTTTCTCAGGAGGGAGCACTGGAGACGAACACCAGTGTCAGGCGTATTAAGTTAAGTCCCAAAGAATTTATAACTGAGCAAATTGTTTTTATGGGGCCCACTTCTGAACACCACTTGGAGGGTGGTGAAACGGAACAGCTATTTTCTTCTGAAGGGACAGTAAGGCACATTAAATTGGGGCCAAAGGAAATGCCGAGCAGTGAGCACATCATGCACCGAAGCGCTGTTTCTGAATCTTCAGGGATCAGTTCGCCAGGAGAAGACATTTTGGAAGAAGGCAGCCCCACAGAAATCAGTAGATCAGTGCGGCACCTCCAGCTAAGACCTGGTGAAACCACAGCCGAGCAGATTGTATTCCATGGTCCTGTTGCTGAAACCATGAGTTCTGGCAGTGGAGAACTTTCTCCGACGGACGGGCCCTCAGAAAACAACAGATCCGTGGGGCATATAAAGATAGGTTCTAAGGAAGCATCCTTCACCTTTCAGATGGATGTCACCAATGTGGCAGGGGGAGGGCAAGAAGCGACTATTGTGATACCAAGCAGAAAAGAGGAAGATGCCCGTCTGCGAGAGGGCACTGCAGTGGATGACCAGAGAGACACAGACAGTGAACAAAGATCAGAGGAAGCGACATTTGATCAAACTGTCCAGCTGCAAAGGATGGTAGACCAAAGATCAGTGATTCATGATGAGAAGAAGATTGCCCTTCTCTACTTGAATAAGGATGAGGGGGAAGAGGACGATGATGGACCTTGGTTCTAATGAGAAAGAGTTTCAAGATTCTGTTAAACCTAGAATCTTCAGTGCCATCAATATATAATTGTCTTTAAAAGGGACAACACTTTACCTATTAACAATGAACTCATGGTTTTGAATATAAGCTTCCTTATGCAGCAGTATTTCTTAAAGTGGGAGCTCTTGAATTGCACATGTGTTTGCTACTTAAACTGCAGTATTAGATTCCGTTTGGCTAATGCTGAGGAATCTGAAAGGTTGATCCTTTTACAGAGAAACTTCCCCCTTCTTGGTCTGACAGAACACTTGCGTATCCCATTTATGTTTGGAAATATCGGTGTCCTGATCAGATTGTTTGGAATAATACTATCAGAAATCTACTTAGTTGGGACTGCTCTAGAGTAAATGTGTTGTCACCTAAGCTAAGTCAGGTTATCAGAAAGAGCAGATTAGACTTCTTTTTGTGATGATCATTCGCTGTGATTGCAATTTACGCAGAGGGCGTTTTAAAAGATGCATTGCTCAGATCAGGGAATGGAGTCACCAGACAAACCAGGGGATCCCCCTGCGTAAAGCATCCTTTTTGGAAGGAGGTGACCAAAAGGGACAGAGGAAGCTGCCTTGGCCCAAGCCGAGCCCTGGCTGCGCCTCATTCAGAGTTGCCTGAACGACTTGGCAACGGATCTCCAGACAGGAGATTCCAGTGGGATTCTTTCCCAGGCCCAGCTGGAGATTGTGGGGATTAAGCCTGGGAGATTCTGCGTGCAAAACTGGTGCGCTCGCACTAAGCGGTGGCTGGTGCTGGGGCCTGGTACTCTTTGTGGCACTCAGGCGTTGTGCGCACTCCATGGAGCAAGTGGACCTCGGTATAGGCTGGGGGGGGTGCTCTGTGAGAAGTGGGTTGGGGGACCCAAAGGGGCACTCCTTACCCTAAATATAGAGCCACCTCTGGCAACCATTCAGTGCAAATGAATGTAAATGAAAGAGAACTTGGCAAGTTGCTAGAGGTGCAGCCGCTTACTGTGCAGCCCCCGACACCCTTCGCCAAGATGAAGGGCACAGTCCAGGTGGATGCACTGGCAGCGCCTGTTTTATTGGGATTAAGGCTGCCACCGATTTGCATGTCCATAGAAATGGAGTCACGGCGCAGGCGGGACCTTGAGCAGCGGAATTCATGAGTCTGGCTGCGAAGGGCAGCAGGAGGGGAGCCAGTACAGTAAAGGTGGCCATCCACTTCCAAGTGCTTTGCCCTGAGGACTGTCCCTGCGCAACCCCATTTACTGCAGTGGGACTGGCCTACAGCAGAGTTTGGAGCATGTGCCCTGAACCTGTGCTAATTGCCCTGCAGCATCGTTATGATAAGGATGATACACCTTAGAGCTTGCTTCTGCAATAAGAATAATAATATTAATAATGGGTATTATTATTATTATTGGAATGCCTTCAAGCATTTAATGGTGGCAAACAAATAATTACGGTGGCTATAACCCAAATGTGGATGCTTTCTTATATAATTTCCTAATTATATTAATATGCAAGAAGCAATGAGATGTGTCCACAATTCAGCACGCTCTGCTAAATGGCTTAGAATTTGTTAGGCCAGTACAAAACTACAGTCTTGGGTAAAAATTAGGAACAGACCAGCTGGGAAAGAATGATGACCCGTCTGGACTGACATCCTCTTTCCAACCAGGTACTTCTAGGAAGCCAGTGGCAGGCTGGGTCTGGCTAGTCCCTCTGTTTCTCCCAGGGCTTTTTTTGTCATGGAATGCACTGGACCCGTGTCCGGCACCTTTTTTTCAGTGGATTTTACGAAGTGATTTTGGCATAGCAGGTCAGCAGCAAACATTAACACAGTGCCTGCAGGCTGCTGTTGCCTCTGCAATCTGCCATAGCTTCTCCGGAGGCTTGGCTAGGGATTGGTGTGCGTGCTTACTGCCAGCGGCGGTGTGAGTTCCGGCACCTTCTTTTTCCCCCCCAAAAAAAGCACTGGTTTCTCCAATCCGCTTTCGGGAGCCATCTAGGTCAGTGAAGAGGTGAGCTTTCAGGAGACATGAAGCACACCCAGGAAGGAGCTGGCCTCATGAAATGTGCGGCTGCTGTATAAGGCGGCCAGGCGGCTGCTTTGCAGAGAAGGGTACTCCATCTGAAGGGCTGTCAGAGGAGAATCCTCTCCTTGAACACGCCCTGTGTTGGCAGGGCCCTCCAGGCCAAATCCAGAAGAAAGAGGAGGAATGCTAGGAAGAGGGAGCGGCCTTGAAGTGGCCCATCCAGGGCGTGTTCCTGGTCAGCAGCCTCAGGTGCCCTGGCTGCATGGGATTTAAACCACAACAGCTACACCTATGAACCAGCAGTGGGAATCTGTATGCCAACCCCCACCCCCCAAATAGCCTAAGTAATTCTATGGTCTTTCTAGCCCAGTCTTGCCTCTCGACTCGCAGCGGCTCTCCAAGGGCTCAGACCAGGGCCTTTGCTTGCCAGGCGATGCCTGGGATAGCACGCACTCTGCCAAGGAGCAAGCAGTGCTCCGGAGCAATTTTGCCATGGGCCACTTAAGGGTGCACGCCTGTGCATTGTGCCCCAGTGCTCATAAGCCTCCGAATTCAGGAGTCTTATGAGCATCCAGCACAGAGTGGGGGAAAGAGGGTGTCAATCTTTGCTTCCCCCTGCCTCCTGCTGTGCAATTCTGTTTGGTGGAAGGGGAGAGAAGGGGCTGAAGAGCTAGCTGCCCAGGTGTATCCTGTCCCAGCCTCTTCCCTGCCTTTCCCCCTTCGACCCCTCTCCAAGTTGCTTCCTGGACCCCTGAGGACAGCTGGGGAATTCCTGGCCACAGGAATGCACGGTTAGGGCCTGAAACTTCTGATTTAAGCATCTGCTGCTGTGACTGAAAATGCATTCATTTAGCTTTATTAGCACCAGCTGGCACTTAAGTGATGCTTGTGTTTTTTTGGCTAGCAAAAATGCAGCTCACTAGAGTCTAACCTGTCTTTCTGCATATACACATACATGCTAATTTATCTTATGCGTTTAAATGCACAAAGCTAGAAAGATGAATAGCATTGCTTCAGGCAATGGTACTCACAGGCAGAGTTTCTTCAAAAAACTTTTTTTTCTTTAACTGAAGATGAACAGTGTGGAGTTTTGGGGAAAATATTTATACAATATACTGTAGATGCTTGAGTTTACCCCACACGTGGGACACTTTCCCCCCTTCTTAGTGCTACAATCCTAAAACACATTTCGAAAGCAAGTTCCATTTCAAATGAGGCTTCCTTCCCAGGAAATGCTTTCAGTATGTGTTAGTGTAACAGTAGAGCCCCGATCCAGCTGAGAATAGACGGCAGTAAGTGCCATTGAGGGCAACAAGAGCTGGGTTGGCTGCAATGACAAGACTGGGGGCATAGTCTTGAAGTGTGCAAGTGGAGTGGAGAGAATTCACTTGCGTTCCAGCGTGCCAGGTGCAACTCTCTCCGCTCAAGATTGCTAGAGCAGGTGTTTTTAAGGCGGTAGATATGTTGAAAGTGGATGGATTCATGTTGGGTGGAATGTTGTAGGCTGTTCTTGTCCTGGTTGGTTATAATGCAGCGTGTATTTCTGTGGTGGTTTTTAAAAAGCCTTTGCGACTTTGCACTTTTCTTCTGTTAAATATTAAAACCCTGAAAATTAATCTGTCTGTTTCTGTCTTTCACATTAGGAATGTCAGCATATTTTGGGGTTTAAAAAAAAACTTGGCAAAACAATCACGGAATAAAAACAGCTTTATATTTTTATGCTCTGTGCTTCTTTTTAGCCGGCTGGTGCCGGAGGTCAGATGGCCCAGGAAGCCCCTTCTGACTCGCTCTGTTTCTGTATTTCTATGTTTCAATGTTTTTTTAGATAAGTGTGAACCAGTTGTGCAAACACTTAAATGTCATAATTCAGCATACAGATGCACTTGTTGAAATCTGTAGATTTAGTTCTGCCTACCAGTCAGATTGCGGCCATAACAGATTCAGTGTTTTGCTACTTCAATTGTGCTATTTGAAAATACATTGCCATTAATTTAAGGAGCAGAGGAAAGCTTTTTCTCCCATTTTAGCTTCACAACAACCCTGCAGATATGGCTGGATGAAAAAGACCTGACCTGCTGCTTTTGAGGTTGGTTAGTCTGAGAGGGCATGACTTGTATTCTGTTCATTCATTTATTGAAAATAATTCTAGCCAGCATATAATTTCACAAGTAATTCTTTGTGAAATTATTCACAAAACATTAAAATTTACAAACACCCATACCTAAAACCTTGACATAAGTACCTAAATAGTAATAACAATTGACCTTACAGCTCTGGCACATTATCTTGTATTACATATGAATAACAATATATATGAATAACAGATAAGCCTGGGGAAAACAGCAAACTGGAATAAAAACATAAAAAATACAGCACACATCTAAACCCTAATTATTAAAATGTCAGGAAAATAAAAGGTTTTTGCTTGGCGCCGAAAAGACAACAGAGTCAGCACCAGGTGCATCTCATAGAAACATAGAAACTGAGCAAATCAGAAGGGCCTCCTGGGCCATCTAGTCTGACCCCAGCTCCAGACGTCTCTGCTCATGACATGCCCACCATGTGTATGTCTGGCCTGTCCTTGAACACCCTCACCAATGGGGCCTCAACCACCTCCCGTGGAAGCCCATTCCACACCTCTTTGGGGAGCTGATTCCGTAAATGCAGTGCCACAGCAGAGAAGGCCCTTCCTCTTATCACCACCCTCCTCACATCCTTTAAGGGGCGTTTGGAGAAGCTGATCTTAGTGCATGGGCAGCTCTATGTGGAAGGAGGCGTTCCTTCACTTAGCTGGTCCCAAACCGGTCAGGGCTTATCTCACTGATACAATTTTGGGACAAAGTCTGGATTCAGACCTTGGCTTTGCTGATAACTCTGACCAGGGGAGTTGACTCTCAGCCTGAGGCACACATGAAGTGCTGGAAAGTCGGCCCATTTTCAGTGGTCACCTGGGGGATGCCTGAAGTTGTGAAGCAGTGCATCAGGAGGCCACCTGCTTGGCAAACCGTGCTGTGCATCCCCTAGCACAAGTTCTCCAGGGCTCAGGAAGAGGCCTTACTCAGCCCCCTGCCTGAGATGCTGCAACTCCACTTGCTGGGGTTCGGGTGCAGCCGCTTGTGCGTGCAAGAGCAGTGCACATGCTCTGAGCTATTGCGAGGGATCTGCCCCTGCAAAGGGACTGTGGTTTCAGGCTGCCAATGCACAGCCTCATGAGGCAGAAGGGATCATAGAAGGCCACTGTTTGGCAAGCTGTCGTGTCTTTCTTTCCCTTTTAAGGAGGCTCGGGGCTGGCTCAGCAAGCAGGTCGACTGTCTCCAACCATTTCTCGTTCAGTAAAGCCAACGGAGTCCCACTTCGCTGGGTCGGCTCCTTCTGCAAGACGGGAGAAACACCTTTTTTGGTAATGCTGTGCCAAACCAAGCACTGTGTGTGGTGTGTCTCAAGCATCGTTCTGTAGGAATTAGGCAGGGAGGTCATGCATCAAGGGCGGAGAAGAAGAAAAGTCCTCAGACCGACGCTTGTGCTCATGTGCTGCCGTGTGGACAAGTGACCTTGGGATGGGTCCAACATGATGACTCATCCGTATTTCGCAGGAGGCATTGCGATGACGTGTGCTGCCTGCAAAACTTGCGAGGAGACATACAAGCTAAAATCACCAAATCAGCTATGGAGAAGACTGATGCAAACGCACCTTGGCAGTCTCTACTTCTGTTAAGTCCTGTGCAGAACAGGAGAGAAGGTGGTCGCCCACAGGGGATGAACTTCCTGGTTATGTAACTCCTAGCGGAATAGACCCATCGGCAGCAAAAGTGGACTGTACCGCAGAGGAAGCTTTCCTTCAAGCCAGGGGGACAAAGACACTTACCTGCAGCGGGCAAGTTTACTGGGGAGGGGTAAGACTGGCTCGGGCCCTGTGTAACCCGCTCGTGTCCTCAGTATATTCCCTTTATCTCCCACCTCCATGTGAGCAACAGTCTCTATTCACCTGATGGGGCAAAGAGAAGAAAAGTGAAGGGGGGGGGGGCTGACGGTCTCCCCACCCCTGAACCTGCAGCCAGCCCTGACTGGAACGCACAAACCCTGTGCCCCGTGGGGTCAGTCCTTGGGCCGTGGGTGTTTAAGGCGCCGTGGCCCAACCCTCCACTCCCAGAGATCCTCCTGTGATGCCTGCCGTGGCAAGGAGGCCCTGCATCATCCTGTTTTAAAGGCCTGTCACAGCAAGGGCAGCCAGCTGGGCATGCTCCATTAGCAATGCTCGTGTGATCTGAGGTTGAACAAGCACTTGCGTGTGCACACATGCACAAGCTCTGCCACGGTCCGCATCATAGCTGCCCCACCTTCTCCACCGATGGGTACTCTATTTCCTTGCTTTGCTGGTTGAATTACAAGGCATACTGTGGAAAACAAACTTTGCATAAGTCAAACCGAGTGGATTGCCTTTCCGCAAAGCAATGTGATAGAGAAAGAGTGCTGCTTTCCCCGGTGAGAGGGCTGAAACACATCGGAGCCGAGCTGCTGAAGGCCGAGCGTTCCCACGTAGCCAACTGGAGTGGGTCAAGCTCCAGTCAGTGCTTTGCCAGTCACAGTGATCCACGGAAAAGCCCTGGCAGCTTCACCTGTCATGAAGATAGCATGGAATGGTCTTCAGAAACAGGCCTGCTTGTCCATTCCTCCCAGAATTGCCCAGTGGTGCTTCAATCATTTTTAAAGCCTTCTCCTTTAGCATCAGGCCTTTTGGAGCTGTTCCCTTGTCCACCTTGAAGTGGGCACTGAAAGCCATGAAGCGGTGCTGCTACAGGAAGAAGCTTCGGAAGGGGATGTCAGGTTAAAAGCCACTGTTGTCTGAGACCTCCTGGCTACATGGTTGGGTAGCCCCAACTCCTCAGGTGGGAGAACCTCCAGGAGGACGGGTTTCCTCTGGATGCAGGTTGGAGAAACTGTATGCCTCTTCAGTGACGCAGGCGGTGCTTATGAACGAATATGCCAGCAACATGCAGTGCTTCAGACATGGGCTCACATGAATATTTTAACATTCTTGAGGAGGGCTTGTGGGCTGAGAAGTGTATCGAATTATTATTTATGGAGTCTGAGGTCTCGAACAGCTGCTGAGCACTGGAGCTTGGGCAGAATGGTCCATTCGCCGCTCCACTTTGCTGTCCCCGGCGCTGTAGCGAGCCTTCTGTGCGGCTCTGCAAAACCGGCCACGGGGGTGCATGGTCACACCAGCGGCAGGATCCGTTTAGGCGGGGCGGGGGCTGCAGTGTGTGCGGACTCGGGCGGGCAGCTGCTGGGAATATCGAAACTGTAGCTGTAGCTTGTCTACAGGCAGCAGGGTTGAAATGACAAGAGTCGCGTCACGCAGGGCCGGTGCTGGGTTTGTGCGAGGATCGTTGAACGCTCCCCAGCCCTGCTCCTGGGTTCCGCCAGCAGGATAAGCTGTGGCTGCAGCCCAGAGGTTCAGAAACCACACAGCGTGTGCTGGGACACCCGGTGGCTCAGTGCCGCTCAAGCCAGCTGTGGTGGCTGCCATGATTGTGCAAACCGTGAGTGTGAACTTTCTGTCTGGGTGGCTTACTTTTTGGTCTCTAGTGAACAAGGGACCAAGAAAGGCTTTGTGGGTGCTGTAGAGGCCAAGAAGCGGTAGCAAAAAGGGGCGGGACCCCACTCTGTTTCCACCTTGTGGAAGGGCCTTTCCACCACGGAGGAGCAGCAAGCAGTAATTTGAACCCCTGAGGACTTCTTCCCGGGAGAGGTTGTTCTCATGGTAGCCACCAGACGGGAAGGCCACGAGCAGAACTGCACCTCCTTCCCTTGTTCCTCACAACTGGTGCTGAGAGGAAGACTGTCAATGACCTTGCAGGCCGTGCAGAGCCATCACGACTAGCGTCACGGAGAGCTCTTGGCCTCCAGCTGAGCAGGATCTGAAAGGCAGTCAAGAAACCCAGGCAAGATCAATGTCTAGCAAAGGCAACTTGCTGTAGTGGCTACAGGGAAGTCTGATTCAAATGCAGTGTGCCTCTCATGAGCGGGTGCCTCTGGCCTTTGAGTCCCGTTCGTGAGCATCTTTGGGGCATTTGGTTGACCATCGCCTGGACTCCCCAAGTCTGGATTTCCGGCTGTCTCAGCCACTGCCTCCCGTGCAGCTGAGGAAGGCCCAAGCAATCGCTTTTGAACTCACCCCACTACTCTGATCAGCTCAAAGAGCACATATGCCTAAAACTATTTTCTTGGTGAAGTCATGGTCCGCCCATTCCCTTCCCCTCTTCTCTGGTTTCCTTTGAACGAAAGGGTATAAAGGAAGGAGGGGAGGCGAATTCAGGTATGCCAGTACGTGCCGCTCTTAAACAAGTCCATCCACGCCCCTTTGGTCTTAAGCCAGTTCTTATGCTGAAAATGCCAGCGCTACTCAGAATCCCCAGGGATTTCAATATGCTTCAGGTTTTTTAGGATGTGAACTCAGGAGGAGAATATAAAAATAGGCAAGCTTGCTGCAGAACAACACACTTTGACAGGGAGTTCTAGGGACAGCTGTAATACTTAAAAAGGCTTCACGAGCAAGGGAGTTTACTCAGCTTTGGGCAAACTGCCGTGTGAACTCCACGCTCTCTTTTGTTGTGAGAAGTAATTTAGAAAGCCTTGAAGCATATAATGGCTGATTTACAGAAGAGCTGGAAGGCTGTTCTTCAGAAAACAGTGGAATGACACCCTCTTTGGAAGGG